GTGTGGAGAAGCAGAAGCGCATCATGCAGCTAATTCAAGAGGGGCGTAGTTACCACCAAATCGTTAAGGAGATGGGTGTTTCGAAGTCCGCCGTCCATGACGTGTCAGAATCCCAACCACTAGACCATTGGGATAAAAGGGCTTGTTTGTGTAGCGGGTAAGTGCGCCCATAACCCCCCAGGCCAACGTGCCTGTAACCCTTCCCTAGGATCAATCGGGGATCACCAGTGGACCTCTGACACCCCCCCGCACTGGGATGCCCGAAGTGCACACGCTGGGATTCGAACCTGAGACCTTCGCTCTGATACCATGTCAGAATCCCAACCACTAGACCATTGGGATAAAAGGGCTTGTTTGTGTAGCGGGTAAGTGCGCCCATAACCCCCCAGGCCAACGTGCCTGTAACCCTTCCCTAGGATCAATCGGGGATCACCAGTGGACCTCTGACATGACGAGCTCCTCCGCCACGTCGGTCCGCAAACGTACGACGAGCTAGTGCCGTCACCAGCGAAACTTGGTCGGCCGCGCAAGCTACCCGAGCAAATCGCGCAGATAGTCGTAAGGTCGATAGTTTTATGTGAATCGAAATCCGCCGAGGCAACCGCGGGAATGATTGCTTCTACACATGGCATCAGTGTCACTGGCGTCACTGTTCGAAACACTCTCACGCGGCACAGAGTTAAGGCGACTGAAAAGCCGTCTAAGCCTAGACTATCCGAGAAAAACATCAACGACCGCAGGCAGTGGGCCAAGGACCATCAGCACTGGACGATGGACGACTGGAAACGCGTCATTTGGAGCGATGAAACAAAGGTCTGCCGGTTTAGTAGCGACGGACGAAGTTGGGCCTGGATTAGACAGGACTGCCCCATGGAGCCGCACCATGTGAAACAGACCGTCAAGCATGGCGGCGACTCCATCATGATTTGGGGGTGCATGACATACAACGGCGCGGGTTTTATGTGCAAGATAGAGGGAAGGATGAACGGGGAGTTGTACCGTTCAATCCTGCAAGACGGGCTTCAACAGACTATCGAGCATTACGAGCTGAATCCCGAGGCAGTCGTGTTCCAGCATGACAACGACCCCAAGCATACGTGCAAGCTGGTAAAAAAATACCTTGCAGAGCAGCCGTACTCTGTTCTCCCATGGCCCGCATCTATTCCGGACTATAACCCCATAGAACACCTATGGGTTTACTTGAAGAAGCAGCTGGTTGCTTATCCCCACCCACCTGCAGGCATTCTCGAGCTGTGGGACAGAATTCAAGTGGAATGGGAGAAAATCCCCGCGGCCTGTTGCAGTGAATTGATCGACATCATGCCCAGGCGTGTGCGCGCTGTGCTCAAGGCCAAGGGTCGCTGGACCAAGTACTAGATTCAGCCTGGTTTGCATGCGTGACTGTATTTGTAAGAAACTGTCCATATGACACTGTTTGCCTAATTCCTTTCCTGCAGGTTGCTGAGCCGAGTTAATGGCCATGTAGCCTTGTGTTTCCACGTACAACCCTATGGGTTTTAACCTTGTGGCGCCCTTTGATTAAGGCTTAAACACGGTAGCAACTAATGCACATTTTCCATCCATATATCTTGGCATGCGGACAATTATTTCGTTCAGTGTATGCCGATCTCCCCATGCCGGCAGAGGAGCTGCAGGCGACGGCACAGGAGGATGACGCCGTCGAGGAGGACGCGGAGGCGGCGGCGGCAGAGGAGGAAGGGGTCGTGCTTGAAGAAGGCGGGGAGGCAGAAGAGCTGAGCGATGACGAGTGGTGGCGCCCTGACCGCTATGACGGGGAAGACTGTGAAGAGTGGCATGCAGGGGACGATTCTGAGTAGTACAAAACTCAGCAGAGCTCTTTGAAGTTGAAATTGTGGATGTATAGTGTGAGGTGATGTTGTGGCTATGTAGATGCAGACTAGGTGGCATTGTTAATGTGTTGGTGCTGGCGCCATATTTCTGTAGTTCCTGTAATGTCACATGTATGAAATGTAAGCCAAGTTAACGTTTTTCCCGACTATAACACCCCCCCAGGGTCTTATAGAGAATCAGCCAAAAAGGGGGGTATAGTGGAACCCCCCTTTTTGGCTTCCATCAGAGCCTACAAGTTGCAGGAAGCCAAAAACTCACAGAAAATTAACAGCCTGTTACAAGCCACAGCTGGAGAGTCATGCAAGGAAAAAGCTACCATAACAGCGGCACATGGCAAGATCCCCAAGCATCCCAATCATTGGAGTTGTACCGTTCAATCCTGCAAGACGGGCTTCAACAGACTATCGAGCATTACGAGCTGAATCCCGAGGCAGTCGTGTTCCAGCATGACAACGACCCCAAGCATACGTGCAAGCTGGTAAAAAAATACCTTGCAGAGCAGCCGTACTCTGTTCTCCCATGTCCCGCATCTATTCCGGACTATAACCCCATAGAACACCTATGGGTTTACTTGAAGAAGCAGCTGGTTGCTTATCCCCACCCACCTGCAGGCATTCTCGAGCTGTGGGACAGAATTCAAGTGGAATGGGAGAAAATCCCCGCGGCCTGTTGCAGTGAATTGATCGACATCATGCCCAGGCGTGTGCGCGCTGTGCTCAAGGCCAAGGGTCGCTGGACCAAGTACTAGATTCAGCCTGGTTTGCATGCGTGACTGTATTTGTAAGAAACTGTCCATATGACACTGTTTGCCTAATTCCTTTCCTGCAGGTTGCTGAGCCGAGTTAATGGCCATGTAGCCTTGTGTTTCCACGTACAACCCTATGGGTTTTAACCTTGTGGCGCCCTTTGATTAAGGCTTAAACACGGTAGCAACTAATGCACATTTTCCATCCATATATCTTGGCATGCGGACAATTATTTCGTTCAGTGTATGCCGATCTCCCCATGCCGGCAGAGGAGCTGCAGGCGACGGCACAGGAGGATGACGCCGTCGAGGAGGACGCGGAGGCGGCGGCGGCAGAGGAGGAAGGGGTCGTGCTTGAAGAAGGCGGGGAGGCAGAAGAGCTGAGCGATGACGAGTGGTGGCGCCCTGACCGCTATGACGGGGAAGACTGTGAAGAGTGGCATGCAGGGGACGATTCTGAGTAGTACAAAACTCAGCAGAGCTCTTTGAAGTTGAAATTGTGGATGTATAGTGTGAGGTGATGTTGTGGCTATATAGATGCAGACTAGGTGGCATTGTTAATGTGTTGGTGCTGGCGCCATATTTCTGTAGTTCCTGTAATGTCACATGTATGAAATGTAAGCCAAGTTAACGTTTTTCTCGACTATAACACCCCCCCAGGGTCTTATAGAGAATCAGCCAAAAAGGGGGGTATAGTGGAACCCCCCTTTTTGGCTTCCATCAGAGCCTACAAGTTGCAGGAAGCCAAAAACTCACAGAAAATTAACAGCCTGTTACAAGCCACAGCTGGAGAGTCATGCAAGGAAAAAGCTACCATAACAGCGGCACATGGCAAGATCCCCAAGCATCCCAATCATTGGAAGGGGAACAAAAGCTGTGCCCCGAGTGAGGATCGAACTCACGACCTTAGGATGGCTCCGCCCAGCTGTGTGGGAGTCGGAATGCTATGAGACCTACGCGCTACCGACTGCGCCATCGAGGCTTGTTATTTTATAAATGTCAAGTATTTTTACATTCTGTGGAGACTAGCTTCGGCCTGGTTTCGATTCGGTGATTCCTAGGCGGCCGTCAATTCCAAGGACCCACGAAATCGCAACCCACACCGACCCTTTGCTAAGTAAAATCCGATACGGCGGTTCGTCTCACCACAGCGAGAGTGCTGCGCAGAAGCTCGGACTTTTTTGGACGGCGCCGTCCAAATCACTCGTTTTCCCAAGAATCCATTCCAGCCGCCACGGCAAGCTAGACGGAGACTTTCAAACAAGTGCGGTTGTTGTACAGTAGGGGCCGGGTGGGGAGAATGCAGGAAAAATCTGCGTCTGCTTCAGTCATTGGTGGTCGCCGCTTCAGCTGTGCTTGCATCAAGTGTGTAACACACGCCACACGCGGCAGACCAGACCAGAGAACAGTCACCTCACCTCGCCAGTCATCAGTCACCAGGGTCACCACTCACCTCACCACCACCACCACGCCACACCACCACAGAGCAGGCACCCCATTTTGATTTTGCACTGACGACGTTTGCTTCATCATGTTTTCATGTCTTGTCTGAGCTAAAAGGACGTCCAACAGGCAAACCGTCAGTCGTTCTTGCTGATTTCTTCCTCCACGCATCATTTCTTGGAACCTCCTAGCAGCGTCTCGTCGACTCTCGACATCTCTAACGCACACCTGGGCGCAAACGCGTCGTTAGTTACTGTAGCATCTGCGTGGCGTGATAAGCGCGTTGCTCTGAGCGCTCAGCTGGAAAATATATTTGGGAGCCAACCGACGGCGCTGACCACATAGCCCTCGCGATCATAAAATAATATTTGCGTTGAGGTGTCACCAACCACACCGTCTTTTGCCCCGCATTTCACTGAGAGAACCGTGACGTAGAAATCCGTCTCTACTAGTAGTAGCCTGAACTGGCAGTGGTCAGCTGGTCTTGCAGCCTTCGCCCAGCCGCGACTCGTCAAGCCTCCCGGTCAGATTGACGGAAACAGGTCTTTCTAAGGCTCGGTCCTTCAAGAACCTTCCTTGGTAGTGACGCCGTAAGTGTCGCTGCAAGTGCCGCCGCTCGTCAAGCATGGCTCTTGAGAACCGCGGCTCGCCGACCGCCGCCCGCGTTTCGCGCCGTACTTTCCGGTCGCCAAGGGCGGGAAGGGGCTCCGCACGTCACCCTCAACAGCCGCGCAACAGCCCCATTGCACCCGCCGCTAATGCTTCCCCCAAAACGCGAGTTTCCGCCAATGTTTCCCCCGAAACGCGAGTTTCCGCCAATGCTCCCCCCGAAACGCGAGTTTCCACACCCGCAATAGGTCCGCCTCCTGCGACTCGAGTTCCTAGTCGAAATGGAACCTTTCTTGCCGTTTGCGGAGCCGAACCGCGGCGGGATCTAAGTATGCCAGCTGTTGGGCTCGCCGCATCTCACGGCGGTTCTGCCGGTTGCACTTCGGATCTAGTTGCACGACCTCTGCAGCGCCCGCTTCGGAGCTTTAAGTTCCCCGCGATTCTCGCTTCCGTCTCCGCCTCCCACGCGACGCCTCCGGGCCTCAGCCTCGCGCCGAGGTTCGGCCCGAGCCTGCTGTCGAGCCAGCCGGATTCTGACGATATCTTTCCGTTACCGTCGGGCCCGGAGGAGCTTCAGCGCGCTGTGATTGGCTGGCTGGAAGAGAAGGCGTCGCGCGTGCGTAACTTGCGCAAGTCCACTGCGGAAGCCGGCGGGCAGGCGCAGGTCACTCCGCGAGCGGGCTCGCTGGCGCTTGAGGCGCAACTTACCCGCGCAGTAACATCCGCCCATGCGCATCTCAGTCGCGCGCAGACTTCGGCCGGGGATGGCGCAAACCGCGCGCTAACAGCTCTTACTCGCCGACTCGATGACGCAGTGACCACGGTGCGCGGGAAATTGGAACAAACTGCGGGGATCGGCGCGAGATCTGGCGCGCCCTTGCTTGGTCCGGTTGCTGGAGTTGGTGCGCGGATGGCGGTCGTGAAAGAGCGCGTGGGGAACGCGAAGGCGGAAGCGGAAGAGCGGATGCTTTCTTTGCGCCGATTCGGGGAGTTTTGGTGCCGAATCGTTCATGTATACGGCAGCTACAAGGTAAATACACCACATATCACGCATATACATAACCCACATCAGAGTTGCATTCAATAAACAGTTTGGATGGAATATCACCTAATGTACCCGAGGTACAAATTATTGTGAAGTACAATTCCCTGTTAAGGCGCTTAAAAAAACAGTAGCGATGTCTCACTTGCTACTCCAAGCTCTCCTGATCTCCTCCTCACACCCTCTCCCCTCCTTTCTTCCCCACAACCTCATCCCCTCTTGTCCTTCCCCACAGGTTTGCCAGTTGCACACGTCACTCTCTCTCCCACCCCCAAACAACCACCGCCTGTCACGACTCACAGACACACAGAAGCACGCAGCATGGGAGAGACAACTCGAGCGAGCGAACTTTCTATTCGTCTCAAAAGCCCCTTCCAACCACACCCCTCTCCTTTTCCCCACACCCCTCTCTCCCCCTCTCCTCCCCCCACAGGTCTGCCAGTTACACACGTCCCTCGCCCTCCCCCTCCCGGGTAACCGTCACCTCTCCTTACTCACAGACACACAGAAGCACGAAGCATGGGAGAGGCAGCACGAGCGGCTGAAGAGCATTTCAATTGGACTCAAAATTCCTCCGCACACCCCCCCTCATCTTCCTTTTTTCCTCCCCCTCCTTTCTTCCCCACAGGTTTGCCAACTCCACACCTCCCTCGCCCTCCCCCTCCCGGGTAACCGTCACCTCTCCTTACTCACAGACACACAGAAGCACGCAGCATGGGAGAGGCAGCACGAGCGGGCAGCGGACCTGCTACACTCCCTCTGCACCGAAATGCGCGGCTTCTTCCTTAAAGCGGGGCAGTTCTTAGCGAAGCCTGACGTGTCTCCCCCCGCGTGGGTGGCGAAGCTGGCCTCGCTGCACGATGCTGCTCCTGCTGACCCGTTCCCGGTGGTGTGTGCGACGATCGAGGGGGAGATGGAGGCGGTAACTGGCAGGAAGGGAGTGAAGTGGACGGATGTGTTTGCGAGGATTGACCAGGAGCCTCTGGGTTCGGCCTCTATTGCGCAGGTATGTTGTTACAATGTCTCCTCCGGTGAGCGTTATGGTGTTACGACGGTCTGGTAGTGAGTGTCTCCCCCCGCGTGGGTGGCGAAGCTGGCCTCGCTGCACGATGCTGCTCCCGCTGACCCGTTCCCGGTGGTGTGTGCGACGATCGAGGGGGAGATGGAGGCGGTAACTGGCAGGAAGGGAGTGAAGTGGACGGATGTGTTTGCGAGGATTGACGAGGAGCCTCTGGGTTCGGCCTCTATTGCGCAGGTATGTTGTTACAATGTCTCCTCCGGTGAGCGTTATGGTGTTACGACGGTCTGGTAGTGAGTGTCTCCCCCCGCGTGGGTGGCGAAGCTGGCCTCGCTGCACGATGCTGCTCCCGCTGACCCGTTCCCGGTGGTGTGTGCGACGATCGAGGGGGAGATGGAGGCGGTAACTGGCAGGAAGGGAGTGAAGTGGACCGATGTGTTTGCGAGGATTGACGAGGAGCCTCTGGGTTCGGCCTCTATTGCCCAGGTATGTTGTTACAATGTCTCCGGTGTGTAACAGTGTTACAAAACAGTGGTAGTGAGTGCTGTGTCCCGGTAGTGTGCGCGACGATCGAGGGGGAGATGGAGGCGGTAACTGGGAGGATGGGAGTGAAGTGGACTGATGTGTTTGCAAGGATTGATGAAGAGACTCTGGGTTCAGCCTCTATTGCTCAGGTACGATTCAGTGTTACAATGTTACCATGTTGTCTTTTAGATGTAAGTGCAGGTAGCTCTGAAGGTGCAACACAGGGGAGCGCAGCTCTTCATACTCTTCAATTTCTCGTTCCTCTCTCTCTCTCTCTCGCTCCCTTTCCTCTCGCAGGTGCACAGGGCGTGGCTACACGATGGGAGGAAGGTAGCAGTGAAGGTGCAGCACAGGGGGGCGCAGCCGCTCATGCTCACAGACCTCGCCAACCTCAAGGCGTTCGGGGCGTTCCTTCAAAAGACAGAGCTGAAGAACATGGACATTGTGTCGGCTCTGGTGGAGCTGGAGAAACAGGTGAGGGGAGGGAGGCTTAAACGCTGCTCGCTTGGGGCTGTTAGAGCGTTTCTGCAGAGGACAGAGCTGAAGATCATGGACATTGTGTCTGCTCTGGTGGAGCTGGAGACACAGGTGGGGAGGGTGGAGAGAGCACGGGTTCGCTAGCATGCAGGTAGGAGGGTGGTATGCGCGTTCAGGGCGTTCCTTCAGAAGACAAAGCTGAGGCACATGGATATCGTGTCAGCTCTGGTGGAGCTGGAGAAGCAGGTGAGGGTGGGATTGCAGGTGTGGCTTACACGTGTGCTGCTCTGGTACGCACCATTGCACTCTTGGTGCCTTCGCTTCTGCAGGAGACAGAGCCGAGGCACATGGATATTGTGTTGGCCGTGTTTTGAGTCGACTCAAAACACGACTCAGAACTGAGGCACATGGATATCGTGTCGGCTCCGGTGGAGCTGGAGAAACAGGTGAGGGTGGAGAAGCAGGTGAGGCATACACGTGTGCTCTGGTACCATTCTTGCTCCACGCTTGGTGCTTTCGTTCCTGAAGTGGACGGAACGGATAGAAGTTGGGAACTGAGAACGTTTCCTGTTTTGTCCCACGTTCCCCTTCCAAGTGCGGCTGGAGTTTGACTTTTGGATGGAAGCAGCAGCCATGGAGAGGGGTTCACCTGGCACCGATTGTTGGTGTGGTGGGGAGAATGATAATTGAAATGTTCGCATGGCGCTGAGAGGCAGTGCGGAGAGATATGACTGGAATGAACGGCTAAGAGAGATGTGCGCTCTTGTGCCCACTTCCGGTTCCTACTTTCGGTTCCTACTCTAGTGACCAGTGACCCGTATGACTGGAATGAATGGCTAAGAGAGATGTGCGCTCTTGTGCCCACTTCCGGTTCCTACTTTCGGTTCCTACTCTAGTGACCAGTGACCCGTATGACTGGAATGAATGGCTAAGAGAGATGTGCGCTCTTGTGCCCACTTCCGGTTCCTACTTTCGGTTCCTACTCTAGTGACCAGTGACCCGTATGACTGGAATGAATGGCTAAGAGAGATGTGCGCTCTTGTGCCCACTTCCCCCCCTGCAGGTGCGGCTGGAGTTTGACTTCCGAATAGAAGCAGAGGCAATGGAGCGGGTTCACCTGGCGCTGAGAGGCGGTGGGAAGGGCGGAGAGATGGCGAGAAGGAAACCAACTGCAGCAGCAGGAGGAGCAGCAGGAGGAGCAGAAGACGGAGCAGTCAAGAGCAGAGGTGGTGCTAAGCAGAGGAGGAGAGGTTCGAAACAGCAGCAGTCGGAACGCAGCAGTCACATCAGCTCTTCCTTTCCACCATCCACCTCCTCCTCTTCCACCTCCTCCTCTTCCTCCTCGCCAGTCGTGGTGCCTCGCCCTGTTTCTGGCCTCGTGAGCCGGCAGCTGCTGGTGATGGATCTAATCGACGGCTCGCCGCTGCTGAGAGTAGCAGAGCAGATGGGAAGCAAGGCGGATGGATTCTTTGCTACGAGAATGAAACGGTGAGTCTGGTGTGGGTGGTTGAGGGTCGTGTGGGTGGTTTGAGCTGACAGCTGCTGGTGATGGATCTAATCGACGGCTCGCCCCTCCTCAGAGTAGCAGAGCAGATGGGGGCCAAGATGGATGGATTCTTTGCCTCGAGAATCAAGCGGTGAGTACCCGGTTGATTTCCTGTGGCGAGTAGCTCGTGAGTAGCTGGCGAGTAGCTCGTGAGTAGCTGGCGAGTAGCTCGTGAGTAGCTGGCGAGTAGCTTGTGAGTAGCTGGTGAGCCGCCAGCTGCTGGTGATGGATCTGATCGACGGCTCTCCGCTGCTCAGAGTAGCCAAGGAGATGGGAAGAGTGAGTGGGAGTGCTGTGGGTGGTGAGTTTGGTGTGAGTGCTGAGTGATTGGCTGCCTCCGTTACCTCCTCCTGCTGGTGATCGAACTGCTTCCCTGGACTCATTACTATATGTCCCCTCCACCCCTGCCCCCCACACCCTTCCTTCCCCACCATTTTGCTCAAATCTCCTGCAGGTCAATATTCCGTTCCCTCGGGGAGGCATACGGGCTCATGATCCTCCGCGACGGTTTTTTCCAGGCTGACCCGCACCCCGGTAACATTCTCATCTGCCCGGACCGAAAGGTCGCTCTCCTCGACTACGGGCAGACGAAACAAATCTCCCAGCAGCACCGGCTGCAGCTCGCCGAGCTGATCCTTGCCGTCGGTGACGGCGACGCGAGGAAGATCGGACGGCTGTACAACGAGATGGGGTTCGAGCTGAGCAAAACGGCCGAGGAAAATCCGGAGAGCTTCAAGTGGATGGCTACACTCATGTTTGACACGCGGTCGGCGAAAGGCGCCACGACATCGAACCCATTTTCGGAGGAGCATGCGGCGCAGAACAACGGCGTGAAAAAGTTTCCGGAGGATTTGTTTTTTGTGGTGAGGTCGATGCAGCTGCTGAGGGGGATCTGCATGGGCATGGGGCTGAATGAGTCGCTTGCGGAGCAGTGGCGGCCGATTGCTCGGCAGGCGATTCGGGAGGCGCAGAGGCAGAGGCAGCGGCAGTGAGGGAGCTGATTAGTAGCGTATCTGCTCTCTGTGATGCAAGTCATGAGGTCGATGCAGCTGCTGAGGGGGATCTGCATGGGCATGGGGCTGAACGAGTCGCTTGCGGAGCAGTGGCGGCCGATTGCACGGCAGGCGATCCGCGAGGCGCAGAGGCAGAGACAGAGGTAGAGGCAGAGGCAGAGGCAGCAGCAGTAAAGGAAGGTGATTAGTAGCGGTCGATGCAGCTGCTGAGGGGGATTTGCATGGGCATGGTGTTGAATGAGTCTCTTGCGGAGCAATGGCGGCCGATTGCACGGCAGGCGATTCGGGAGGCGCAGAGGCAGAGGCAGCGGCAGTGAGGGAGGTAATAGTTGCGTATCTGCTCTTTGTGGTGCGTATAATGCAGCTGCAGCTGGTGAAGGGGATATGCTGCATGGGCATGGGGGTGAATGGATCGTTTGAGGAGCAATGGCGGCCAAACACTGAGGCTGAAGCAGCAACAGCAGCAGTAGTGGAGAGAGGACCTAATTGGAGAGTACTGTATCCACCCTCTAGCTGTGTTATTGCGAATTAGTAGTGGAGAGAGGACCTAATTGGAGAGTACTGTATCCACCCTCTAGCTGTGTTATTGCGAATTATTTTGAAATGTGTGTTTGTAGACACCTGGAGCTCCAAGCATGCTTCAACATGGCCTGTAGTAGCAGAAGGGCCGTGTTGAACAATGCTTGGAGTTCATCTTCTATTGTGGGCTCTTTGTTATGAGTGGAGTTTTATGTTGTGCTGAAATGCACGCTCCATTTCAAGCCCCCTTGCCAGAACAATGCATAGATTTTGTGGGTATGGTTTAGTCACACTGTTACATCTACTTGTCGTCCCTCGTCGTCGTTCTTCGCAACCACCCAATCGAAATTGTAGACGTCGTTGATCGCGTCGTCAACCCCGTATTCTCGCCACCACCACCAAACCTCTCTGTCCGCGTCGCCATCATGAAGCCGATTCGTCACGTTGCAAGGAAAATATGAATTCCGAATTTCATCCAATCGCCTCGCATTTGCAAAATTGCGCCCCATTTCGAACACGTTTGGGGACATTTTCAAACATCCTTTTCCCCCCAAGACTCTCTCACACGCTTGGGACGACACTTTGAACGGTCCCCCCCTCGTCACTCCCAAAAGTCACTGTCAAACCTGCAACGCATTTGATTCCTCCTCCCGAGACACGTAGGGCGAAACAGCTTTCCCTTCGCATCCTCGTCCCTTCCAACGTCACTGCATTTCCAACCCCAGCAGCCGCACGAGCAACAGCAGCAGTGCCGCTGCAATTCTTGTCAAAGCACAAATTCCCAGCCCCAATCACTAATAGCATGTGACTGTGGCTTGCGTCAGTATGTGCTTTCCCAGAGCGTCGAGACTAGCATCTAGGATGTGACGGGCCAGTGGGGAATCAATTCGCAGCCTCGTCAATTCCGGGGTGCCTGGGCCTGACCATGGCTTCTTTTCTCGTCTCATCCAGAAGAGCGAGTCTCTTCCGCAGCAAATCACATGCACTTCACGCGTACTTCGATCGACTCGGGAAGTACAGCGCGCCCTGTGAGAGTTCAGAGTAGTACTTGTGAGCATCGCACTTTTAGTGACAGGTATTGACAGATGGAACAGCAGCCGTACGCGGCCTCGTCAATCCCGTCAGTTAGTGGCAGCAAGCAGCACGCGACCTCGTTCATTCCGTCCGTTAGCCTCACTTTTGAGAATTCCCAAAAGGGATTTCAACATCGCGGCCTTGCCAATCCCGTCAGTTAGTGGCAGCAAGCAGCACGCGACCTCGTTCATTCCGTCCGTTAGCCAGCTATCCTCGGAAATGTCGCCATCCGAACTGCCGCAGCCACTGTCTTGCGTTCGTTATCGTCGAGACTCGAAAACGACGCTATGTACTGATGCTATTGCCAGTCTCACGGATGGGCGGCGCACGCCCCATGTGCAGGGTATTATTTTGCGTAGATTCTCGAAAAAAAAAAACAGTGTCTGTTCCTCAGCAGGATCCCGTGCGCGGCTCGTGCGATGGCTCTCTCGGCGAAAATACGCTGACTCGGCGACGTTCCCTTGGACGACGAAGAAACACCCCTTGCGCAACTCCCTTGTGCGATGACCCCCTCGGCGATGCTCCGACTCGGCGTCGTTCCCTCGGACGATGATGAAACATCGCGTGCGCAGCGCACCTCACGTGTGTGATACCCTGCATCGCGTTGACTCGCCCCCATCATGATGATCATCCGGCATGCTCCTCTCCAAGAGCAGATTCGAGCCCAAGGCCGAGTCAGCCTGTTTCTGCCCTAGAGGCTGTGGTGTAATCGAAAGTGACTTTCGAGTCCATTCTAGAGTGCTGCATCGCGTTGACTCGACGTCATCATCCTACATGCTCCTCTCCGAGAGCAGATTCGAGCCCAAGGCCGAGTCAGCCTGTTTCTGCCCTAGAGGCTGTGGTGTAATCGAAAGTAACTTTCGAGTCCATTCTAGAGTGCTGCATCGCGTTGACTCGACGTCATCATCCTACATGCTCCTCTCCGAGAGCAGATTCGAGCCCAAGGCCGAGTCAGCCTGTTTCTGCCCTAGAGGCTGTGGTGTAATCGAGAGGGATTTTCGAGTCGCCGTCATCATCCTACATGCTCCTCTCCGAGAGCAGATTCGAGCCCAAGACTGAGTCAGCCTTGGGAGATAAACAGCCGTTTCTGTCCTTAGAAGGCTGTGGTGGATCAGAATCGGATTTGACCTTGAGTGTGTAATCGAAAGTGACTTTCGAGTCCATTGTAGAGTGCTGTCGCAGTCGTAAGAGGTTTGAGGCGCACGGAGTCACGAATGGATGTCCCTGAAAACCGCGCTAGGTGTGAAGCGAACTCCACCTGATGCGGGTATATTCGAGAGCGACTTTCCAGTTCCATTCTAGAGTGCTGTCGCAGTCGTAAGAGGTTTGAGGCGCCTCAAAAGTCGAGAGCGATTTCCTAGTCCATTTCCGACTGTCGATTCCTATTCCAGAGTTCTGTTTGCTGTCGCTCGCGGCCCCCCGACTCTCGAGTGCGTGAGTGCGGGAGTGTGGGAGTGTGGGAGTTCGCGAGTGCCTGCTTGATAAGGCCTCTCAAAAACAGTATACGGTAATTTCGCGCTTCAGCACTTCGGCTCTCGCACTGTGAAAAGCGTGCGTTTGTCGTCAGGCAACTCACCTCTTTGGCTCGCCGCTTGATCGCTACTCGAATCCGGCGGCTATCGTATAGAGCGCTTCAACCCAAGTCTAGATTTTCTGGGCCTATCCGCATGGAATCCTCTAGCGGGACTGACGGCGAGCGGCAGTCGCGTTTTAGCACACGGCCGCCGAATCCGCTGTGTCTATTATCGCGTCGCGTGCAGAGGGGCTCCGCGTTTACCGAGGCTCTTCGGAAACCGAATCCGTTGTCGCTGCTGTCGCGCCGGGTGCTGATGGCGTCTGCGTCGCTGATGCATTCCCCGCCTTCTCCCTCCAATTCCCCCATTTCGCCGTTCCTCCTGCCCCCTTCGCAACTGCCGCTGTTACCACCGCATTCGCCAGCTTCGCCCGCGTCACCAGCGCCGCCAGCGTCGCCAAAGTCGCCGGCGTCGCTTCTGGCGTCGCAGCCTTCGCCAAAGACCCCTCAGCGAGGAAATCCGGACCCTACTGAATTCGATTCGGTACAACCAAGGTCGAATTCGATACAGGCAGAAGCGTCTACGACGGCTTTGGATGGTCGAGCCGACTATTATAACGCCAAAACGTTTACGACCGTCGGATGGATTCCTGAAACCCCACGGACGTGGCTGGAGACATGGGCCGATCCTATTGCCTCCTGCTGGAAAGAAGAACGGGTGCAGAAAGAATCGGGAAGAAACGCGGGATGGAAAAAGGATGATTATGGTGAGGAAGTGAGGCAGTTACAAACGTGGATATGTACGGAAGCAGAAAGGGTGAATTCGGCTGTGGGGGAGCGAAGCGAGACACTGAAACGAGGGTTAATGTTGCTGCAGAGAGGGGTGGAGTCACAAAGGGAGTCATTGAAACGAGGGGCGGTGGCGTTACAGCGAGACTTTGAAACACGGAACGAGGCAGTGAAACGAGGGGTGGTGTCGCTGCTATGGGATGTGGAAGATCAGAGTGATGCCCTGAAAAGAGGGCTTGTGTCGCTGCAGCAAAATGGGGAAGCACAGGGCTGGCGTCGCTTCCACGTCTTGTTGCAGCGACGCCAGCAAAATGTGGACGCACAGGGCACTGTGCTAAAAAGAGGGCTGGCGTCGCTGCAACAAGACGTGGACGCGGGGAATGAGGGACTGAAACAAGGGGTAATCTCGTTGCAGCGGGATATGGAGGCGCGAAACGAGGCACTGAAACGAGGGATGGTGGCGTTACAGCGGGATATAGAGGCACAGAGCAACGCGCTGAAACAGGGGGTAACCGTGTTACATCGGGATGTGGAGGCGAACATGCTGTCGTTTCAACGAGGGGCGGAGTTCTGGCGACGTGTAGTGCACCTGTACGGCAGTTACAAGGTGCGTTTCATCTTCCAAAGAATTTGAACGACAGGTTTCATTTCTCTTGGGTTGCATGCATCCGTTCATCCTCATTTCCTCGTTCTTTCTACTCCCCTTCCCCTCCCCTCCTTCCTTTCCTTCCTATTCATCTCCCAGACCCCCTGTCCTCCCCTCCCCCGTCCCCTCTCCCCATATTCGCTCTTACTATTCCCCCTATCATCCTATCCTCCCCAGCTTTGTCAGCTCCAGGTGGCAGTGAGTGGCCAATCAGAGGAGGAGATATCTGCCACGTGGCAGAGGCAGCATGAGAGGGGAGCCGAGATGCTCTATGCTCTCTGCACCGACATGAAAGGATTCTTCCTCAAGGTGTGACTATAGTGAAGGTGTGATTATAGCAAAGGTGTGATAATAGCAAAGGTATGACTATAGAAATGGAAGTGACCAATAAGGTGGCCATATGAGTAAGCTGAGCGGAGTGCAGAGATCCTCTATGCTCTCTGCACAGACGTGTAAGGATTCTTCCTCAAGGTGTGACGATAGAGAAGGTGTGACTATAGCGAGTGTATGACTGTAGCCATAGAAGTGACCAACAAGGTGACCAAATGACTGAACTGAGGGGATCGGAGGTCCTCTATGCCCTCTCCACCGACATGAAAGGATATTTTCTCAAGGTGTGACTATATTGAAGGTGTGCGCATAAGCAAAGGAATGACCAATGAAGTGGAGTGGACTCCGAGGGGTGGCAGAGATGAAGGCCTTATGCATCCATGATAGCGCGTTCTTGAGCCAGCAGTATGAGTGAACCTAGATATTGCTTCGAAAGTGTAGTGTCGGGAGAAAAACAAAACCAGATAGAGATGTGATTATAGTGAAAAATGTGTATTTTTAGCTCTTAATGTTTTGAGTGCTCCCGTTTAGTAAGCGGGAGGTCTTGAGTTCAACTCTCAATGAGAGCACTTCTTGTTTGATGTTTTGCCATCCTGTTTCGTCATCGTTCTCACACAATTTAGTAATCACAAGTTGACGTAAATCATCTCCTCAAGCTTTATATATGCTCCCCTCCCACTGATCCCTCGCTCGCCTTCACACCAAATCACTTTCCCCTCTCCCTCAAAGCACAACACAGGCGGGTCAGTTACTGGCCAAGCTGGGCCTCTCCCCACCAGCGTGGGCACATCACCTCTTCTGTCTCTCCCCAATCATACTCTTTCTTTCCACATATAAGCCGTGTGTGATAAGTCGATTTTTTAGTCAAACTCAAAAATCGACTCTCCCCACCAGCGTGGGCGCATCGCCTCTTCTGTGTCTCCCCAATCATACTCTTTCTTTCCTCACCCACAACACAGGCGGGTCAGTATCTAGCCGAGCCAGACCTCTCCCCACCAGCATGGGTGCGTCGCCTCGCAGCCCTCCACGACACTGCTCTGGTCGACCCTCTCTTTCCCAACACCCAATTCGCTTTCCCCTTTCCCTAAAACACAACACAGACGGGTCAGTTCCTAGCGAAGCCGGACCTCTCCCCACCAGCGTGGGTGCGTCGCCTCTCAGCCCTCCACGGCGCTGCTCCTGCTGACCCGCTCCCCCTCGTGCTGCGGACCATTCAAGAGCTGGGGGGGGTGGGGTGGAGGGAGGTGTGGGAGTGGGTGGGTGAAGGAATAACAACTTGGGTCTCCTGCACACTAATTCCCCTTCCCCTTCCCTTCCCCGTCGTTTCCCCCTCAATCACACAGGCAGGCCAGTTTCTAGCCAAGCCGGACCTCTCCCCACCGGCATGGGTGGCTCGCCTCTCTGCCCTCCACGCCTCTCCTCCGTCTCACCCCTTCCTTCTATCCCCGCATCTCCCACTCCTTCCTCCCACAATCACAGGCGGGTCAGTTTCTAGCCAAGCCAGACCTCTCCCCACCAGCGTGGGTGTGTCGCCTCTCTGCCCTCCACGACGCTGCTCCTGCCGACCCGCTCCCCCTCGTGCTCCAGACGATTCAAGAGGAGCTGGGGGGGATGGGATGGAGGGAGGTGTGGGAGTGGGTGGAGGAGACACCACTTGGGTCTGCATCGATTGCTCAAGTGCACAGAGGGAGGCTGAGAGGAGGCAAGGAGGTTGCTATCAAGGTAAGGATCTGCATGTGAGGACGAGTATCACTGTATCACTAGGTGCAGGGCAGTCTGGTCAAAATGGGGCAAGGAGGGCTCGAGGGCAGGTGGGGTGTGCAGGGACGTGCGGGAGTGGGTGGAGGAGAAACCGTTGGGATCTGCGTCGATTGCTCAAGTGCACAGAGGGAGGCTGAGAGGCGGCAAAGAGGTGGCTATTGAGGTAAGAGGGTCACCATTATTTTCTGAATAGCGTTTTTTGTGTTTTTTATTGTAGATTTATTTTTTCATTGTCACAATCTTTTTCTTCTTCGTCTTTTTTTAAGGAGGCCTTCACTGCCTTGTATCCTTCCTGATGAGCACGGTAGCACAGAATTCAACCTGGATATTGCACTCTGCATGCACCCCAACCACCCCTCCCTCGCTACACACTTTCAGGTGCAGCGCGCAGGAGCGGAACCTCTCATGCTCACAGACCTCGCCAACCTCAAGGCGTTTGCTGCCTTTCTGCAGAGCACGGAGCTGCGAGCTCAAGATAAAGGCCTGCCTGCCCTCCTCTTCCCCTCCCCCTCCCCTCTTCAGGTGCAACACGCAGGAGCCGAGCCCCTCATGCTCACAGACCTCGCCAACCTCAAGGCGTTTGCTGCGTTCTTGCAGAGCACAGAGCTGAACCTGGACATCATGGGCGCTCTCAACGAGCTGGAGAAGCAGGTGGGTGCAGTTGAGTAGGTGGGTGGGTGCTGTGTATATAAGGGTGTGGTTCCGAGGAGTATTGGGGTGCCTGCCTTTCTGCAGAGCACAGAGCTGAACGTGGACATCATGGGCGCCCTGAACGAGCTGGAGAAGCAGGTGGGTGGGGTTGGGTGTTGAGAGGTGTGTGATCGGTGGGTGGGGTGTATTCCTGCAGAGCACGCAGCTGAATATGGACGTCATGGGCGCTCTAAATGAGCTGGAGAAGCAGGTGGGTGTGGCTGGTTTGATGGCTGCTGTATGGATTTTCATGGGGTATGGTGTCGAGGTGTAGGGGAGTGTGCGTGCGCGCGCGCGCGTGTGTGCAGAAGCGTGTGCGTGTGTCAAGTATGTGTGATTGTGCGACTGCATGCCATATTGCAGAGGACGACGGATCCGAATCATTTTGTTGTGTTTTTTGCCTAACGTTATTCTCATTCTCTCGCTTCTGCCCCTCTCCTGACCACCCATACCTGCAGATCCGGTATGAGTTTGACTTTCGCAGGGAGGCCGCAGCCATGGATACCATCCGAGCCTCGCTGGCAGGTTCGGCAGCATCAGGCACGGGAGCAGCAGCTGCAGCAAACAGAAGGCAAAAAAGGGGGAGTCGCTGGAAACCTTTTTCAAGGCCGGCTGCCACTGCTACTGCTTTCGCTGCTCTTTCCGCCCTTGCCGCCACTGCCCCTGCTTCTACCGCTGCTGCTGCCACTGTGGGTGCCATTGGTTCTGCTGCAGCTGCTGCTGCTGCTGCTGCCGCTACTAGTTCTCCCCCAACTGTTTCTGGTGCAGCCTCCCCGGTGGTGGTGCCTGCATCTGTCCCAGGGCTTGTGACCAAGCGGCTGCTAGTGATGGACTTAATCAACGGCTCTCCAATTGTGAAGATGGAGGAAGAGATGCGAGCCAAGGGACTCAACCCCAACGGCTACCTTGCTACCAGAGCCAAGAGGTGAGTGTGATGGGTCGATACGGCTGCTAGCTTTGCTGCTGCTGTGCCTGCGTCTGTCCCGGGGCTGGTAACTCAGCGGCTGCTGGTCATGGATCTGATCAACGGCTCTCCGATCGTCAAGATGGCTTCCTTGCTACCAGAGCTAAAAGGTGAGTTGCTGCTGCTGCTGTGCCTGCGTCTGTCCCAGGGCTGGTTACCCAGCGGCTGCTAGTGATGGATCGGATCAAGGGCTCTCCGCTTGCCAGCATGGAGGAAGAGATGAGAGCCAAAGGAGCCAAACGGAGTCAGCCTGCGTCTGTCCCAGGGCTGGTGACCCAGCGGCTGCTAGTGATGGATCGGATCAAGGGCTCTCCGCTTGTGAAGATGGAGGAAGAGATGAGAGCCAAAGGAGCCAAACGGAGTCAGCCTGCGTCTGTCCCAGGGCTGGTGACCCAGCGGCTGCTAGTGATGGATCGGATCAAGGGCTCTCCGCTTGTGAAGATGGAGGAAGAGATGAGAGCCAAAGGAGCCAAACGGAGTCAGCCTGCGTCTGTCCCAGGGCTGGTGACCCAGCGGCTGCTAGTGATGGATCGGATCAAGGGCTCTCCGCTTGTGAAGATGGAGGAAGAGATGCGAGGCAAGAGCGACAACCCCAGAGCGTGTTTTTTGAGAATTCTCAAAAAACACGCTCGGCAAGGGCGACAACCCCAGCAGCTACCTTGCTACCCGGGCCAAGAGGTGAGTAGCGGCTGACACTGTGCCTGGGCCTGTCCCCGGGCTGGTGACCCAGCGCCTGCTCATCATGGATCGGATCAAGGGCTCTCCGATTGTGAAGATGGAGGAAGAGATGCGAGCCAAGGGCGTCAACCCCAGCAGCTACCTTGCTACCCGGGCCAAGAGGTGAGTGCCATATGGCCATGTGCCATGTGGCCATGTGCCATGTGCCATGTGCCATGTGCCATGTGCCATATGGCCATGTGCCATGTGCCATGTGCCATATGGCCATGTGCCATGTGCCATGCGCCATATGGCCATGTGCCATGTGCCATGTGCCATGTGCCATATGGCCATGTGCCATGTGCCATGCGCCATGTGCCATGTGCCATGTGCTAGTGATGGATCGGATCAAGGGCTCTCCGCTTGTGATGGCATGGAGGAGCACATGAGAGCCAAGGGCGTCAACCCCAACAGCTTCCTTGCCACCAGAGCTAAGGGGGTGCGAGAAACTAGTTGTTCACCCCTTTACTGCTTCGGCGATGCGCTAGTCCAGGGCCGGTTAGAGTTGAGCGCAATTCTGAGCCCGCCCACTCACCCGCACACTGGCGCTGGTAAGTGTTGAGTTGAGGGTGATGCACCGAGCTGGTTTTTGAGAATTCTCAAAAACCAGCTCGTGATGCACCGGATATCTGGTGATTCAAGAGGGGTTCTGGCTGAACTGGCACACCCCTGTGGCGTTCAACGCCTCTGTTCCTGCCTTTGTTCTTTGTTGCTATCTGTCGGTCACTCGGGGCAGCTTACGGGCTGATGATCTTGCGGGACGGGCATTTTCAGGCTGACCCCCATCCAGGAAACCTTCTCATCTGCCCAGATAGAAAGGTCAGTCATACAAAATATTTCCACATGCGAATCACTTTCATCAAACCTAGTGCTTGCTACTTCATTCCACATCCCTCATCATTTCCATTTCCCAAACGTATATACAGGTTGCTTTGTTGGACTACGGCCAAACGAAGCGTCTCCCGGACTCTCCGCGTCTAAAACTGGCACGATCAATGCTAGCAGTGGCTGACAAAGACTCATTCTTGCTGTTTCAACCACTGTGGTTCCATTTCCCTTTCATACATACAGGTTGCTTTGTTGGACTACGGTCAGACTAAGCGCCTCCCGGACTCTCTTCGTCTAAACCTGGCGCGATTGATGCTAGCAGTGGCTGATAAAGACATGCCAAGAGTCGGCTCATTGTTTCAGGCCTTGGGAATTCGGACTACCAGGACTGTGTTCGAGGATCCCAAGAGCTTCCACCGCATGTCTTCACTCATGTTTGACACTGCTGTGTCGGAGGGTGTTACGACGTCAAACCCGTTTGCGAGCGAATCTACCCTGAAGAGGAACGGGATTGAGGTATGTTACCTAGCTTGTTTGATCAGTGTTAATTGTGCAACCTTTTTTACCTGTCCACAACAATTCTGTCACGAGAGTTAATTCCACCAAAGAATGCTGTCTGACCTTTTTATTGTCCGACTTGGTTTTTTCTCTGGCAGAAATTTCCAGAGGATCTGTTCTTTGTGGTACACACCATGCAGTTGCTTAGAGGGTTGGCCATGGGCATGGGGTTGAATGAGTCCCTTGCGGAGCAATGGAGGCCAATTGCACAGCAAGCGCTCAAGGAAGACGGCGGAATGAAAATGTTTACATGAGCTCTGTGCAGATGCTAGGAGAAGTTATGCACAAATCTTCACAAAAACTCTCCTCTGTAGCATTTGTTTGCGAGTATTTGACCCCACCATCTGGTTGATCCCCAGACTTATCACCTCCACCGTCTGCCTGTTCTGTCACGAAGCACTCAATAAAGGAAACGGCAACCCCAAGGCGTCAAATGTAATTTCCAACAGAAATCACAGGAGCACAACGAATGGTTCTCTCACAGCCTAACAACTGCTCTGCTGTGCGTTCGGGCTGACCCGCGCCACTGACGGTCGCCATTTCCTGTCGTTTGTTCCACAGAAGTCATGTCAACTATGACACCTTGTGGTCATGTCAACTATGTACAGTAGCAGAAACCACAGTAAGGCCGATCCTTGCTCTGGTCTGTTTCAGACGGAAAAGGATTTCACTCGTGGCTGTCAGCGTTCAGGAATTCCACGGGCAAACGCGATGTGGACTCGTGAGTCGTGACCGCCTCACGTAACGTGTCACATTCAGTCACTTAGGACACGAACGAATGGACGTGAGTGGCGGGAAGCGAAGACGGGGAAGTGATTAGTGACGCGAGGATGCAAGCTTGGACGAATCCAACTCGCTGATGGCACCTGACTTTCATCGCTTCTGCAGCGATTAGCGCGAGCTACTAATGTGCAGATTTAAAAAAACCACCGTTGATAATTCGAAATACCGGTAAGTCGACTTGAACAAGCTCCGTCGGCGTGGAATTTCTGGTGGGGGAGCCCTCGTGCCATGAGAATCGGCCGCAAGCAACAAATGGCTCCCTCGCTACAAACGGCTCTCTCACACTTCGTTCCGGGTACCAAGGCATCCAGGAAAATCGCAATATTGCTGCACCCATCGTTCTATTCACAGATCTCGAGTCAAGCACAAGCTCTAGAAGCATTTCAGCTGAAGACTGGTAAGTGCTGCTTGCATTCCCCGTGCTCAACCATAAAGCGCGCTGGATTCCCAGGGGGAGCTGCCCGAGCACTGGAATCCTTTCTGAAACGTATTGAGGCAGCTGTGGTATGCAAGCACCACAAGGCCTAGCGGCAAGACTGGCAACTTGTGTTGCATACAGTTATCAAGCGGAGAGGAATAGCGGAAACTGGGGCTACTGTGATGCTGTATTGGAACCAACCAGGACCTGCGGGCTTACCCATGCAATTGAGTGCATGTATTCCCTTGCATTCAGGAATTAAGCATGTTATAACATGAAGATAAACACCTACTGCATCAAGAATGCACCAAGCTACAGGGGCACAGCCTGCGCATGTCTGGGTGGCTTCCCTCACAGGACGGCATATTCGGGTCCAGGCTCACTAGACAAGTACGAGGCATGAACTGAGCCTGCGACCTCTGCTGTTGTTGCTGCTGTTGTTGCTGCTGTTGCTCATGCAGATCCACCTGACCCTGCCTGGAATAACCCCTGAGGTCTTGCAGCAACTTCCTCTGCTGCGGATTTTGCCTAGAAGGATTCTCCAACAGGTGTATGTGCTGTGGTGTATCAGAGGCTATATCCAGAGGTGCTTCTACCACCTCTGCTGGCTGCTCTGTTCCCAGAGAGGCGAAGCAGCCAGGCGTGCAGGGGAAGAAATGACGGAGCAGAGGACAGTTGTTGATGCGGGGGAGAAGGTCGGCCTGACACTGCATGGGAGATTTCATGTGCACGGAACATCAAGAATACGGACGTATGTGAGAAGGGAGATGACAGGAAGGTGTCGGTGGGAAACACTGCAGGGGGGGAAAAACTGTCCGACAATGCGTAGGAGACTTTTGTTGGGGACAGAAGCAGGGCAGAGAAACCAGTGAACAATGCACAGGCGAGTTTATTAGGAACCGTGATTTAGGGGGGAGATTGATCAGACAATGCATCGGAGAGAGACATGAGAAAGGCTGCTTAGAAACAAACAGACACGGTGGGGGCAAGTTGGCAGGGAGGTAAGGGCTACGGCAAGGGTGGCATTGAAAAATGGGTGGAGGCAAGGGCGACAGGGAAGACACACATCCTGTCGCCCCTAGGAAGTAACACATTGTCATTACAATGTCCGAGGCAGTACTATGCAGCAAGGATGACAAACTACATGCGAGAAAATGGGAAGCAACACACACTGAGACAACCGATTTACCTTCAAGCCTCGCTCTGCGCACGTGTCATCACAGGACTGGCCAGGATTCCCTATTTCCATCTTCAACTCCACGTCCTCCAGTCCTTGACGGAAACTCCCCTCACCAACAGCACCATCACCACCACCATTAACAGCACCAACAGCAGCACCAGCATCACCAGAAGCACCAGCAGCAGCGGCATCACCACTGCTTCTCCTTGGCTCTTCACTAGCTGCTAGTACACTGTCGCCATCCAAGGCTGAAAGAACGCTCCCCGTTATATCACCCTTCGACCTTTCACCACTGGTACTACCAATGTCTCCATCTCTGAATTTCTTCTTGGCTGCAGCTGCAGCAGCTGCTGCGCTTGCTGCTGCATCAGCCGCTGCTTGCACTTCAACTGGCAGGCCGTAGCAGTGGTGTCTGTCACTTATGTAAGCGTTCTCATGAACCACGCTCTTAGAGTTGTGCCGGCAGCGGTGCCGGCAGAATTCAAAAACTGACAAGAATCGTCCAGCCGACGGTTGAGCTGCAGTGGTGATAATTGTGGCCAATCGAGGCGGAGTACGATCAGGATCTTGACAGCAGGTTACACACTGTTCGTAGACTTCGCAACACCGGTCAGTAACGTTACAAGACTGGCAAGAAAATCTCAACGTTTGATGAACTTTTGCTCCTGACCCGGCGCGTTCACCACGGAAGGATAGATCGGTTCCAGTTCCCGAACTTCTTCCGCCGTCTGATTCTCCATCGCGAGCATACGGACAGCAACCAGTGCTGAAATTTAAGTCAGACCAATTGCACAGGTAGCCCTGGTCATCCGCGATAAGGGTGCGTCCTTCTACAGTATGTACGCATGCTCTTGAAGGTGTGCTAACGGAAAGCTGATGCAGAGAACGCTGGTATAAAGGCTTCCGGCCGAATCGGAGAGAACCGGACTCGAACTTCGAGGCGGAAACGGAAGTGAAAGGGACGGAGGTGAGTGTGATAGATACGGATGCAATAAGTATCACTAGCCAGAAGTGACGGATGAGACTGAAACGCAAGCACTGACGGAGAAACATATGAGCTGGCTGAATCCTGGAAGTGTAAGGGGACGGCGACGGAGCTCTGAACTATTGCAATGTGGACTGCATGAACACCCTAAAGGGGTCGAAGCAAATAAAGGGGTAGAATAGTCAATATCTCCTATTCTTCTCAGTAGACGCCCTAAAAGAGGAGATTAGATGAGAATTCAACGTAGCAAAGAAACGTGTGCGTCAGTGCTTGATGGTGAAGATCACAGGTGCCGCTAACGGCAAATGGTTGTGTAGGGCTTGAAACACTCGAAATGCCTGAATGGCTCTGACAGCAACTGGAGAGAAGGGGGGAAGGGGGGGATGGATGTGTTGTGAAAGTGGAGATTTAGGCCCTGTTCCCGAAGGTACAATTGCGTAGGTTTTTGCGAACAGGTTGCAAAACTCACTCAACTCAATTTCCAGTGATAGGACTGTTGTGACACGAAGATAGGCCCTTGTAAATCAACCTAAGTACCTCCCGCTTGGAAACGCAAGCGAAAAGGCAGCTTGTGTCCTTACAGTGGATTTTTCACTCCATTCCCTGCCAGAGACATTTTCTGATGTATTCGATCCTCGTGAAGTTGCTATCCCCAATACAGCCTCTATTCTACCTCTTCGCTAAGATTCATTCCGAGAAGCAGGCTGAGACTTCCGCAGACGTAGAAAGAGATGGCAAGAAGCCTGTTGCTAGTTTTCCTCCTACTCGCGACCATGCAGTTGTCACTTCAAGATCAGAAGCTTAGGGATG